GCTGTCACCTTTGGACCTGCAGCGCTTTGTGGGTTCAACCTAAGATTCGTTTTCCTCCTGCTGCTGTGGGAAATACTGAGCTTTCAATGGGCTTTGGGCATTGGCATCAATAAATGAGAGCCTAATCCCTGGTTCTCGTGCTGGAATCCTCTGTCGTTTCTCGTGCACTTCATTGAATTAAGCAGATAATTCTGTGCGTGCCCAGCTCCTCTTAGTCCTAATGCAGTGATTATCCTTCAATGCCCCAAAGAATATTTCACTTACAGAGCTGTTCCAGGAGTAAGAAAAGCACTTTGTTAACAGTTCTGTAGTCCTTAAGGCCCAGGAATACTTTGGAAGCTCTAGTCTAGCTGCCACTGCCCAGAGAATGTCACTAGTGGCTTTTGGTGCAGTGTGTGCATTCTGTAGGGATAAATCTAAAGGAAATGGTACCTAACCTACTGACATTAATGGTGTTTTTCCTTTGCAGAGCGGGGCTATGATCCCTACAACCCTGAGCTGCCAAAGCCCTCGCTGGAGGCAGAGGATGGGGCCCTGGCTGATCTTACAGACATGACACCTGGCATTCTGGAGCTCGAACTGGTCAACAAAGCCATCGAGGCAGTCAAAAATGAAGTTGAGAGAGAGCAGAAAAAGTATGAGGAGCTGTTGGAAACCACAAAGGAGCTCAGGGCCTCTGATGCCTCGCTTATTTCAGAAACACCTGTGTCAGCTGCCATGACACAAAGTGATTTGTTTACCTCCTTAGAATATAATCCAGGTAGCTACAACTTCAGTAATAACTCCGACTACAACCCCACTCCTTTTGCTGCTGCTGGCCAGTCGAGTAAATACACCTTGGATTCGCTGCGATCTAAAGGTAACTCGCTGGAATACGTTCCCAAGGCTGTAGCACAGGCTAAAAGATACAGCAGCACTGTCACTAACAATAAATACGTCATCGATGACTCCAAGCCTTCGACTGACTTGGAGTACGACCCGCTTTCAAATTACTCAGCCAGGCTTTTGAACAAAGCTGCAACGAAGGAGCCCAAGGGGTCTAAAAGGGGAAGGGTCCCTAGTTATGAGGATTGCTATTCTCCTTCACGAAAGAAGCTCTGTGAAGCACCCGACGAGTACGAAGTGTGTGCCAGGTTCTCCTCCTCTGAAGATGAGGCTGATGCAGAATGCAAATCGACCTCTGTTAGCTCTCCATCAAAAGCTGGTTCAGAAAGTGAATCAGATGATGGATTGTCCAGCAAAGAGCGGAGCGCTGCGTCGGGTGGCTTCGCTTCTCAGGGTAGCAAAGAAACTGCAGCAAAATACCTGGAGGACCTGGCTGGTTCACAGAAAATCCCTCCGAAAAATCTATTGGAGAAGAATGCCAAAGCAGCAAAATTGTATTCTGGTAAGAATGACCAGGAGACTGAAAATAAAAACAAAGATTGTAAAGATAAAAGCAAGAGGAAGAAATCGGATGTGAGTAAAACGCCTGGCCTCGGTGAGGTTGGTAAGAAAGAGAAAAGTAAAAATGCAGAGAAAGACAAAGTAGGCAAGAAAGAAGAAAAACTGAAAACAAAGAATGAAGAGAAAAACTGCAGAGACAAAAGCGTTAAAGTGAAAACCGATGGGAGTTCAAAGAAAGCTGATAAATACAAGTCAGAGAGAGTGGATGAGCTGAAGAAAGAGAAATCCAAGGGTTCCAGCAGTAGTTCAGGGAAAAGCAAGAGTGAGGATGTCACCAAGGGCTGCGGCACGGAGAAGCTGGGTGGCAGCAAGAAAGAGTCTAAGCTAAAGACAGCTGATGTGAAGAATGGTAAGGAAACCTCGAGCAGCAAAAACAAAGACAAAGGGACCAAGAGCTCAGCAGTGGAGCAAAAGAAGGAAAAGGTCAACGTTGCAGGAAAAGGAGATCCAAAGAAGGGGCAAAAACAGCAGAGCCTGAGTCACGTTGACCTGTTTGGAGATGAGAGTGGGGATGAGGATGACAGGGGCAAACCTGTGCCGTCCACGTTACCTGACGTGAGCTCAGACTCGGATGGTGACAGCAGCGGTTCGGATTCTCAGAGTGAAAATGGAAAGAAAGCAAAGCGTTCTAAGTTGTCCAAGTCATCGTCGTCTTCCTCAACATCTGATGACATTGATTATTCCAGCCTGGAGAAGGACTTGGACTTCGAGACAGACCCCATGGAGGAGTGTCTCAGGATTTTCAATGAATCCACTGATGTGAAAACGGAAGACAAGGGGAGGCTGGGGAAGCAGGTAACGCCTGTTTGAGTTGGTTCTCCCAAACCTAAGTGTGAAATGACACCGGTTTGGTTCAGTGGGGCTGAGTATTTCAAGTTGCTGAAGAGCACTGTGGAAGGAGGCTGTATGTTGGATGAATGTTATCCCTGTTGCAGCTGTTGTGACGAGTTTGCACCTGAGTGTAGCTGTTGGAGGAGAGCTCGTCTTGTGAGCAGAAAAGCTGGGAGTTTTAAAGCTTTCTGCCAAACTCTCTGTTGCAATAACAGCAGTGATCCATTCTGATAGAGCTCTGCCTTGCTGACAGCTGAGGGCCTTTCCAACCCTGGTGTAAGGCAGATCTCTGTGTAATCTATTAAGCATGGCTTGATTTTGCTTGTTTAGGATCAGCTGTTCTTTCTTCGGTGTAATTCTCAGCTAGGAAAGGCAGCTTTGTTTTTGGCCCTGTTGCCCAGTTTAAGCTCCTTTCAGAGCTTTCCAAATAAGACTCAAAATGGGCCAAATTCAGAAAGCACCAACCCAGGGGCTCTGCTGCTATCGCAGGTGTGCAGTGGCAGTGCTCAGCTGCCCCTGTGTCCCATTGAACCTGGCCTTTGCACACCCGTTACCTCATATTCCTCAGATTAAAGTGTAATTCTGCCCTGTTCTGGAAAGCACCACAGTGTGGAGGTGCTTTGAGGGAGAAGTGCTTGGCAGCGACCTGCTTCCCTGCAGCTTTTCAGCAGGATGGCATTGCTCTCTGGGGGTTTAGGTTTGTTTAGGGGATAACTTTGTATCTGGAGCCTCTGTGGCCTGAGCTCAGCTCTGCTTGGAGGGAGGGTTGATGCGAGCAGCGTGGTGCTTTTCCACTTGGAAGGAGAACTGAGAGTTTACTGGGGATGCAACCAACTGCATGAATGGGCTGAGCGAGTTCCTTCAGAGTGCTGTGATGTCAGGTGCTCCTGCAGGGCACCCCGAGATGGGCACAGCTCTGCTGGAGTGGAGCTCATCCCAGCTCTGCCTCCAGCCTGTCAGTCCTGCCTCTGCTCACAGCACTGCTGGGGGCTGCAGGCAGTGCTGAGTGCAGATCAGCTGGAAAATCTTAGAATTGTCTGAGATGGAAAGGATTTCTAAAGGCCATCCTGTCCAACTCGCCTGCACTGAGCCTGGGCACCCACAGCTCCATCGGGTGCTCAGAGCCCGGTCCAGCCTGAGTCATAGGAATGAACCTGTGTAAAGGATCAGCTAAGTTGAACACAGGAGCAGGTCTGAGCTGTTAGTTTCAGCTCCTCGTGCAGGAGCTCTGGGTTTCTTGCCGTTCAGAAACATTCCCCAGGGATTGGTCCCTGCAGCCCTTCTGTGGGTAGGGCAGTAGATGCAGGGCCGTTTCCCTGTGTGTGCCATGGCAGCCATGCGGTTTGGTGCTGGGCACGCGTTCAGGACCTGCTCTGGAAATGTGTCATACCAGCAGAAAATGAGTCAGCTCTTAGCAAGAAACCCAACCAAACATCCTGAGTTTTCAGCATGCCGTGAGAAGTGGGTGGCTGGAGGTGAAGGCATTCCCATCTCTGTGTCAGGTAGGGGCTGGGCAGAACGGTGCTGAAGCTGTGTGCTGTGCAGCCCTGGTCACCCCAGTGGGAGCAGTCGTGGCTTTGCTGGTGGCTCTGGGGGTCAGAGTGGGTCTCATTTAACAGCTCACAGGTGTTGTTTCCACCTGCAAGGACCCTCTGTTCACCCCAAAGGAGGTTTGTCTGATCTTCTGGGGAGGGATCCTTGCCTGGTCAGTCTTGGAAGCTTGTTCTTTTTGTCTTACAGCCATCGAAGGAAGAAGTAAATAAAGAAAAGACAGAAGAGAATTTAACCACCTTATTTCCCGGCCAAAAACGAAGGATCTCTCATCTTGTCAAACAAGGAAATGTAAGTGCAGCTCTCAGGAGGCATCTAAAGTGACTCTTTTCTGTCCTGGGACATCGGGGCGCAGTGTGGTCCCCTGTTCAGGCAGCAGCATATGAACTGTTCACTGGAATACTTTGATATCACTCTTTTTTTTCCTTCCCCTTTCTGATTTCCTAAAAATGTGGTCAGGCATCTCTTACAGAAAGCAGCCACACACCAAGAAACAGTGCTAAAACCAAGGGTAAGCTGTGGAGGAGTGAGTGGATTTGGCACCTTGTTGCTGGGGGGGCTGCCTGGCATGCCCTGCTGCTGCAGGACAGCTTCTGTCAGTCACTGCATTAAGAACAAGGTCAGGCTGTGCCCACTGCTACTTCTCCTTATGGTGTGGAACTAAAAGACAGCTGGGGGAATCTTGTAAGATGTTAAAAACCTTTGCTACATTTATATACGCCCCGATTCAACGCAGGTACTGCCAGTACCTTGTTTGATATTGTTCTTGTGTGATTGTGGGAATACTTGAAATACGGAGGAGAATTAAAAGAGAAAAAAGAAAAAGCAAGGAAGACACGCTGATCTTTTTATTTCTTTCTCACTGGGATTTTAATTCTGTTTTCTCTGAGGGTTTAATGCGTTTCCCTCCAGGTGCTGAGTGCAGATTAGTCAGTTTTATGTTCTGTAGCAGGATAAGAGTGGCGGCTGAAGCGCTGATTTGAGCCGGGAAGCCCAAATTAATTGTTCTTCCTTTCTGCTCTGCTTAGGAAAGGTTTCTTTGCTTTTAATAATTTGAAGCCCCGAGGTCAATACAGTGCTGTTTATTTAACTACATATCTTCAGCCAGTTCATGTGTTCTGATAAGGCCCCTTTCTTCCAAAGTGAAGAGATAAGAGACCGAAACAAATGGGTTGGAAATTCATTAACTCAAATATTTATTGCAAATAGGTGCCTTTTAGACGGGTACAAATCCCAAAATACATTTTCTTAATGTGACAGCTGATCCCAAAATGCTTTCCAAAGCCCTGAGCCCCAGCACAGCCATCGCGTGGGCAAACAGAGCCAGCCTGGTGCTCTCAGCCCTGGACGTGCCTGCCTGGGGCTGGCAGCTCCGTGCTGCTGCCAGGTGTGTTCAGGAGGTGCTGTTAGACCTGAACTGCTGCTTTTGCCTGCACGGTTACTCGTGCTTTGCCACGTCCCTCCAGGTCGGATATTTGCTCAGCCTCGTGATTTATAACTCAAACACTGAGCAGGCTGAAGGGGAGGGAGCTGAGTTCTCAGCTGAGTTTCTGAGGGGGAATGGCGGGCCAAAGGAATTGGAGGTGAGGCAGCAAATGAGTGGCCTGTCCTGCCAGGAGGGCTGTAATTATCCTTTAATGGTTGGCTGCGCTCAGTTTGGTTTCCAGAAGCCGCTGTCGGCTCAGAGGGCAGGAATGCAGGAGGTGCCAGCTCACCCCAGCTGCAGGTCTCCGAAGCTGTGTTACACACAGGGGCTGTTGGAGCTGATTTCTCACATTTCCGTGGTTATGAAGTAATGTGGCAAAGTTTGTACTGCTTCTCTTGTTCTTCTGCTCCGAGAGAACTTCTCCATGCCAGCGTCACTTTTGGCACCTTTCCCACGACCTACATTTGGACATAAAGATGATGCATATGTAACATGGTTGTGTCAGTAACGGCCGGAGCAGTGCAACACTTCCCCGAGCAGCAGGGCAGAGCTCAGAGCTGCTTTGTGTAATTCTCTGATCCCATAGATACTTATGTGTACGTGTGACTTGTAACTCGTCTGTAGGAACCAGAGTGCTGAAACAAAGCTGCTGGGAGGTGGGGAGCTGCTGGGGAAGATGGTGCTGGTAATTTGGGATGGGAAAGGCAGCAAAGGAGGGAAGGAATGAGCAATCGTGCAGCAAAGGGGAAGGGGGAATAGTTTCCATTTTATTAGAAGCTGAAGCACGCAGTGGTGGTCGGGGGTGAGGGGCCAGATTTGTTTTCTAAGGCAAGGCGTGGAGCTGGGTGTTGATGGAGCCCAGCACTGGTGATGGACAGCAGGCACCCTGGCCATTAAACAAGCATTTGAATCCCAGCTCAGGGAAACCCCAGAGGGCTGAGGGGTCTCCCCAGAGGGCGAATTGCGGGCGCTGCGCTTCGTGGTGGGTGACTGAGCTGTGCGTTCTGGAATACGGTTGGGATCTTCCCTCCAAAACCAGGATGTGCTGAGGTTTGGATGGGTCAGGGAAGAGAAAAAACCTTTTTTGGGTGGATGAGAAGCGAAGGGTGGGGATTGCTGGCTCTAGAAACCTTTTTGTCTGTGCAGGCAGAGGTCCCGAACAGACCCGTAGTCCGGCCGTACCGCCCGCCCACAGCACAGGAGGTGTGCTACCAGAGGATCCAGCTGGCCCAGCAGCAGGCAGCACAGCTGGCCGTGGCTGTGCAAAAGGCCTCCCTGTCTCTGCCAGGAGAAAAGAGGAGGATTGCTCACGTGCCAAATGTAGCCCTTACTGCAGCAGTCAAGCAAAGTAAGCCGGCAGCGTTACTTGTCGTCATCGCTATCTTGTCCTCTGTGCTGTTGGGAGGATGCTCACTGTGCTGAAATTTCTCTCAGGCTGAAAATGGGAAACTATCAGGAGGGCCACGATTGCAATCTTTGCTTGTAGGCACTGATGGAAGGTCTTTCCCCTGAGAAGTGCCATCGGTTTCCAAAAAGCGACAGGCTAAATGTACAGCTCTTTCCTGTTTGTTCTTTGGAGACTGTTTGCTCTTCTTCCTCTTTGAGGAGGTGGCTGAGCAGGAGGGAAGTGCTAATTTGTGCTCATCATTATGTGTCCCACTGTGGTTGGAAGGGCTCAGAGCTGACCTGATGAGCAGGTGGTGCATTGTGGCTGGCAGGGTTAACTCTCTAAACTCGACTGACTCAATTACCTCAAAGCAACAACAGCAAGAAAAACAAAACCAAAAACAAGGCATGGTTCCTAGCAGAAGGCTCCTTCATCCTTGCCTGGAAGGTGGTAAAATTACTTAATTTTTATCCCTTGGGAGGCTTCTGTTTGGAAAAAATGCAGTTTGTAGCACAGCGAGTCCATCCTGACAGCTCAAAGCCCCGCGGTAGCTTTTCTCCTGATGCGTGTTGTCTGTTTCTTGCAGGCCTGGTGGGTGGCAAGAAGGCTGCTGCTGGCAAGAGTGTCACAGCTGCCAATGACTCCGAAGCTCCCACCCCTCCTCTGAAGGCCTGCACCTTAGCTGGGATGGCTTCCAAGACCACCAGCACCACCGTGCAGAAGAGGATAGCCCACGTTCCGTCCTTGCAGGTAAAAGAGATGCAGTGCCTTGTTTTGCAGCTCCGTTTCAGGTCATCCCTCGTTGAGGGTGCTGTGGTGAACTGTTGCTGTTCCAAACTTAGCTCTCAGAGAAGTGCTGTTTTGATTAGGATGATTAAATGGGTTTCTTTCTTGCTGTGGTTTTCCTCGATAGGCGTTGTATAAAAAATTAAACACTTGAGGAGCACGGAAGGCTAGAAATACTTAAGTGCTATGCTGCTCTCTTTGAATATTGATCTCTCATTTTCAGTTTGAGTCTTTTGTTGGGCTGGCTGGCTGGGTCTGTAGCTGCTTGTGTCAGGGACTTGAGGTCTCTCCTGTGTGAATGGATTGGTGACCTTCCAGCCTTTGTGGGCCAGACTGAGGAAGGCATTTATGAATAACGTCCCGCAGCAACCTGTCTGGTTAAAATGTGATGATTTAAACTTCGTGCTGCAGTTTATATCTGGGGGAAAAGCATTTTTTTTTTTTCTCCCTCTTTTTTGATACCTGCCCAACCTTTGTGTACTTTTGATAGCGAAGTGTAACCCGAAGCTAAATAAAAGCTGAGAGCTAAAAATGCTTGCCATTGTTAGAGAGGTTGTGTGAGAGGCTGAGAAAACATACACGTGTAATGAAAAGGACCAACCCCCCTGCAACAGGTTTAAACAAGGTCCAGGAATAGGAAGAGGTGGATCTGAGTGGAAGTCTCATGAGGAAAAAGATGCTCCCTTCCCACTCAGGTCCCTCGTCCTCGTTGGGTCTGTTTGCTGCAGATGGGTTTGATAATGGATGTCTCTTGGGTAAGGTGGAGGAGGATCAAAGCAATTGGGTGCTCTGGAGGTGTGCAGTTTCTTCTCCAAAGAAGGAGGCAGCCTGTGTGATTTGGGAGATGAATGGGCAGCAGTAGGTTGTAGCTCGGTGCAACAAGCAGTTCTTATGCACAAAGAACATATTGCTCAATTTCAGGGGGGAAAATCCTTACAGGAGCACGAGCAGCATTAGAAAGGAAACCAAAGCAATGCAGGGAGGTCACAGGAACCCCAGGGAAGCAGGGTGGCTTAGCTGGCTGCCAGAAGCGAGCCTCCCTCCCTCCTTCCAGCTTCAGCACTTACAAGAAAGAACAAACCTTACCTGGTGTTGTGCCTTCAGCTCAAATTGCAGCGCTTGGTGCTGTGCTGATCTCAACTCCCTTAATGTCAGTATCATCGTTTTCGTGGTCTGGGATGCTTGTCTATGCAAATGCAGTGCTGTGAATAATGCTGCTGTGCAGCTGGAGGAGTTGTGTAACGAAACCTTCTTGAAGCAGTTCAAATACTGAAAGGACACAGAAGCTTCAAGCAGTGTTTTTAGAACCAGAAGTGATTTGTGTTACTTTTAGCTCTGGACAGATTTTCAGAAAGGAAGTGAATAATGCAACAGAAAATGGGAGTCTCGAGGTGACGTGTTTGTTAAACCCCAAATAGCCTCTTTCTCTCTCTCTGTCTCATCTCTAGAGCGCCAGCTTACAGAGGCCTGTTATTCCCACAGAATTTGGTGCTAAAGTCCCAACAAACATTCGTCAAAGATATCTCAATCTCTTCATTGATGAGTGCCTGAAGTTCTGCTCCTCCTCCCAGGAAGCCTTTGATAAGGTCTGTACTGGTGCTTGCTTCATGTGAGTGATGTCTGTAGTTCCGTATGGAGCCCTGTGCTTCGGCTGAGACCTTCTGAAATGGCAGCAAAACCAGGATATTCTCCTACCCGTGGGTCTCAGTAGAGAAGGTGAATGTCAAATAATTCCAAACCGGGCAGCAGAAAATAGAATTCCACTGAGGGTTTCCAATAGGAAAACCATCCTCATTAGGAGAGCACACAGCGTTTTCATTACACCCAGAAGAGGGGCTTAAGGGTGCATTGAGGCTGAGCTGGACAAAAAGAAACCCTTTGCTGTGATACAAACACCCTGCAGTCTGAGCATTCAGTGGAAGCAGGATGGATGTAACTGGCAGAGCTTCCTGCCTGTGAACGGTGCAGAATGTGAGGAGCCTTCTGCCAGCAGGGAGTATTACAGTAAGATTTCCAAAAGCAGAATTGAGAATCTCATGTATTTCACTGGAGAACTTTGGCTTTGCTATTAGTTGGGCCAGCACAGGGCACTGTGGTGTGTTCTGTAACCAAAACAGACGAGGATGTTGATATTTTTGGTAACGTTTTGCCTTTGCAGCTCCTTGGGGAAAACATTCCTATCGCACTCAAGGAATGGCTGCTGTCCAAACTTCTTTTTTTTGTTGTCCAGTTCAGAGCTTTGTCTTTCCCTCGTGCTGCCCTTGAAGTGAGGAAAGCAGCCTTTCCCAAGCAGTTCCACAGTGCCCTGTTAACCTGAGGGAGGGCTTTATACAAAAATGCTTCTGGAGCATCATTTAAAATACGTTTTTTCTTGGCAGCCCCAAGATGCAGTGTGTGTCAGTGCTGTGACACAACTCTGTTTTGGAGTCTGGTACTTGGATCCTGCCTTTTGAGATGGAAATGTTTCTTTGTTTTCCCCCCGTTTTCCCGAAGCAGCAGTGGGAACAGAGCACACAGTAACGAATTGCACTGTTTGCAGGCTCTGGCAGAAGAGAAGGTGGCTTATGAACGCAGCACCAGTCGCAACATCTACCTGAACGTGGCAGTGAACACCTTGAAGAAGCTCAGGAGCCTCGTGCCCAATTCCCCCTCCAGTACGAACAGTACGTACCACGTTTGTGGTTTAATAAGGAGCCCTGCTTGGATTAGAAGCCACGGAGAGAAACTTGTTGAAAAGACAGACCCATTTCTCAGAAGCATTATGCTGAAAGGCAAACAACTCCAGTTAGCTTTTTATAGTCTGGCAAGCTTTAATGGGCCTTCAAGAGGCCAGTCCTGCAATGCTTTGTTGGCTGTCTGAGCCTAAATGGAGATAATGCCACATGGATTATGGTGTTTTTTTTTTTTAGCACAAGTTCTTTAAAATGAAAAGCCCTGCTAATGGAGTAACTTTCACATGATACCTTCAAAGTGATAGACTCGTCCATCACCGCAGAAATCTGTTACACACATTAAGCTTCAAGAGAGAAACGAAGAGGGTTAAGACATTTCATTATTGGCTCTCGAGAGGGTACATTAAACAATCAATTTGTGCTGTTCTTGTGAATTTTTTTTTCCCCAGTCTCTTCCCTTTTCTCCCCTCTGTCTTCATTACCTTCTTAGCCATTACTCAGAGCGGCTGGACTTGGGAGGCTGGCCTTTAGGAGAGGGCTGCCAGTTAATGATTACTAAAAAGCACCTGTCTGCCATTATCTGATGTGCTGAGCACACTCCACAGCTCCGAAGGCCTTTCTGAAGGAAGGTGAAAGATGCGGTGTGGGAGTCTGGCCTGTGGGCACCCAACAAAGCTGCTCACTGCAGATGGGTCGAGTTGTGTCGGTGCTCAGCCCCTCTCTGTGCTCTCACTCAGGATGGCAGCTTGGTGCTTGCAGTCAGCAGGTGGAGCTCCCAGAGCCTCCTGGGGAGCTGTAAAAAACGTCCTCCTCTGCCCTTAAAAAGTTGCAGCGGGCTGAGAGTGCAAGCAGAAATCTCCCTGTAGTGCTGGAGAAAGCTAGGAACAGTGCACCACTGCACACAGACTCATTTCTGGAGCAGGGAATGCGAGAGGATAGATGCAGTCCTCTGTTTGCCTGTGTGCTGTGCCCAAAACTGGAGGGCTGAAACCACTCGCTCTTCCAGAGTTGCATCTGAATATTTCATCTCTGTCCTGTTCTGCTTCTTCCCTCTTGTCGCTGCAGAAACAAGTAACAAGAAGGTGGTGTCCCACGAAGCTGTGCTGGGAGGGAAGCTTGCTGCTAAGACCAGCTTCACCCTAAACCGGTCAGGGAGCTTGAAAGCAGAGGATTTGACAGGTAAGACCCTGCTCCTGCAAAGCTGTCAGCTGGGAATTCTAGCTGGAGGTACAGCATGCTGAGTGGGAAGAGCAGGACCTTGTGATGCATGAAGAGCTTTGATTTACCTGGGGGGGCTGAGTTGTGAGGTATGAGGTGCTGGTTAGCACCTTTCTGGCTTCCCTGCTCTGGGCTGTGGGTTTGCTGATGTTGGCCGTGTGGCTTTGATGTAGTGTTGGGAGCTGTTCAGAACTGCCTCTTGTGTTTTGGGTATTACTGACCCGTGGCTTTTTTTTCTATTTCGATTTTACTTTAACTTTCCTCCCCTGAAGGATTACTTTGTCTTGTGCCCCTCAGATGAAAGGCAAACGCACTGATATCTCCATCTGCTCTGCAGGGCTCATTTTCACATTTAGGAATGTCACAGTAAGGTCACGTAGCAGCCAAAGGATTGTGCCACAAGCGTTGTTCACTTTGGGTCAAATTGTTTATGGGTATTCAGGCTGCCAAGAGATATGGGCAAATTGCTGAGGAGATCAGAGAAGAGACAGGGATGCCACGGAGCAGAAGGAATTGACGTGAGGAAAGCTTGAAAGGGCCCTATAGCTCATCTAAGCTACATCAAAGGGTGCACAGCAATATTGGAGGGGTTTAACAGCACTGAAAGAAGAGCTATCGAGCAGAGAAGTTACAGCTGCTCTGTGGAGTGAAACAGTCAGAAATCAGCAGCAGGAAAAAGCTTCTGATAAGGAGTTTTTTAGCTAGCTGTGGGCAGCCTTTGAGGAGTATTCTGTGGGCTGTGTTACAAACGATCAGTTAAAGCACGGGGAACATTACAGGCATGAGGCTTCCCTTGTTCCCTTGTGCCTGAAGATGGGGCCCTTGGGAGGGATTTCAGTCCTGCTTTCCAGATAGCCCAACCTAGTGCTGGTTGTTGGGAGAGGTGGCAGTCAGCTTGTGCCACTGTCAATACTGAACAAGGGCAGTTGAAAGTAAAGCGTGAATCGGGGGAGTTCCTACCAGGTGCATTGGTGAGGCAGAAAAGCTGAAGAGAAAACAGCACCTGCTTCTGTGGTGTGGCTTCATGGTTGTGTTTGATGCCTGCAGGAGCTGCCCTGTACCGTCGGCTGAAGGAGTATCTCATGACTGAGGAGCAGCTGAAGGAGAATGGTTACCCCATGCCTCACCCGGAGAAACCAGGCCGTGCCGTCCTCTTCACAGCAGAAGAGAAGAAGAGCACTGACTGTAAGCTGGGCTGCTTCATTCTGCACTCCCTGCTGCCTGTGTCTCAGGTGCAGGGAGGCGCCTGTCCTTCGTGCAGCACGTCTCTTTGTATGGAGATGTTCTGCTCTCAGCATGGAGCTGCCTTTGCTCGTGTTGCCACGTGTTGTGCAGCTGTTCAGCCAGGGATTTTTAGGATTTTTCACTTAGACTCCAGCCCTGTTATGGTGCTGGGGAGGAGAAGCTCCTGGTCAGCACCTGGTGATGCTCTCCTCTTCCTGGCAATGATTTTTTTGGGTCTCTGCACACAGCTTGCTGTGATGGTGCCACAGAGCAGCACCAGTCTGGGTCGTGCTGTGCTGCTTTGGCTGCACGGTTTTGGTGTGGTTGTTGTGCAGTGCTGAGCAAAGTGGTTTCCAAGAGCCCTTTTGGCAACCAGACAAAGCATTTGCCAGGCTTCCCCTGGGCAGGGTGGGATCCTCTGTCTGAATTTTCTGATATCCTGCAGCAGGACTGATGCTTCTCAAAAGCTGAATGGGGCAGACGGTGATGCAGGAGGGATAAAATACATACATAGTGTGCATTGTGAGGTGCCTCGTCAGGCTCCTCTGAGCATCTCTTTGGAGAGACATTGCTGAAGTGTGTTAAGTGCTCATCCATGTTAACACCTTGTGTCTACATTTGTCCTGTGGTTGCTGAAGCAACCTTTATGAAAGCTCTCTTACATTAACACTGTTAAGTACTGCATTTGTGTGAGCCCTTCTCTTCAGCTGCGGCTGTGTACAGCAGCTGGCAGGCTGAGATCGTGTTGCTGGTTCTGCTTCTCTGATTTCCTACAGATATTTTAGGACTTTTGAGTTTTTTCTTCTTTCTAACCAGTCTGCTAATGCTGTGACCACGGTCAGCAGGTGAGGATGGACCAGACAGGTGTTGTGCAGAGCAGCAGTGTGCTGCAACTCGGGGAGTTGCTGGGAAAGCAGGTGCACGACAGACACCTCCTTGTCTGGGGTGTTTTGCATTTCCCTTCTTTGAATTGTGGGCACTACTGAGAGTGCAGGTGGCAGGAGGGAGAAGTCCCCACTTGGAGGGCTGCACTGTGCTGTGTGTTGTAGGGAATCCTAGCAGAGGAGCTGTACCCACTGAACATCACTTGGCAGTGTCACAGCCCCCTGGAAACCAGGCCTCACGAGCTCCAGTGTCCAGACTTACTTATTTATCCTGGTTCTTGAA